CACAACAAAGCAAACTCCTTAATTACAAGCACCTGCTTGTAATTAAGGAACTTTGTGCTTGTCATGCAGAAATTGTGCGTAGCAAAAACCCTTAATTACAAGCACTTGCTTGTAATTAAGGATTGTTGCTTGTCATGTGTTTTTCTGCAAAGAAGGATTCTTGCTTGCGAATAAGGTTGTTTGCTTGCAAACTAGGATATGTGCTCATAAATCTGCATTTTTCATGAAAGTAAGGTTTCCTGCCTATGCGATTCGAGTGTTCATCGCGCAAACTGCTTTTCCAGTGCGCAAGGCTAGCGTCCGGCTGGCTGAGAATGAGGAATTAATTGCGGACGCTCCTTGAGAACTTTTCTTTTATAGAAAGGGGGGACACAAAAGACAAAAACCTTTAATTACAAGCGCCTGCGTGTAATCAAGGAACTTTGTGCTTGTCATGAAGGAATTTTGCGTGGCAAAAACCCTTGATTACAAGCACTTGCTTGTAACTCATATCATCCGTCAGAAGTCAAGCGGGCCAAGCCTCTTTCGGCTTCGAACAAGTGCTTGTAATTAAGGATTTTTGATTGTCATGAAGGAATTATGCTTGTCAACATATTTTTGCTTGTGTGCTTGTCATTAAGGGTTTGTGCTTGTCATTAAGGATTATTGCTCGTCAAACAACTTATTTACAAGCACCTGCTTGTACTTAAGGATTTGTGCTTGTCACTCAGGATTTTGGCTTGTCATTAAGGAATTGTGCTTGTGATTAAGGTTGTTTTTCTGCGAGAAAGGATTTTGCTTGCGAAGAAGGATTGTGTATAGATAAAGGTTCTTGCCTATCAGATTCGTGTAACTGCTTTACCAGTGCGAAAGGCTAGCGTCCATGGCCTAGAGATTGAAATTGGTCCGGCTGGCTCAGAATAAGGAAGTAATTGCGGACGCTCCTTGAGAATGAGGAATTGATTGCGGATGCTCGTTGCAAAATAAGGAATTAATTGGTTCCGCTCCTTGAGAATAAGGATTCCGGGGTGCGAGGGGGGTGGGGGGGTGGGAGAGGGCGTTTTGAGCAGAGAATCTTTGGGAAAGAGTCTACGATTCCAACTGGTGCCGGGACGGCTTAACGCAGCGATAATCATGGATTCACAAGCCTTGATTACAAGCAACCAGTTTAAAAACCCTGGGTTTGTGTCCCCTACGGCGCCCCCCAAGCCTGAGTTTCGAGGAAGCAACTATTAAGAAAGGCCCTCCAATTCACACCTATGCCTAAACGGACTAGGGTTGCAAAACACCGGAAACCACAAACCTTATTCGCAACCACCCCTTCTTGTTCGCAGGGTTTATGCAATTCGCCAGCATAGCTGACGCACTGACGCCAAGCGGTTCCCATCATAGCCAAACAAAGGCATTCGAAACGACCAGTTGCCAAAACAATACGTGGGACGTCTGAATTGGTCTGAATGCAGCCTGGGTTCAAAGGGTTAAACAATACGACATGACACGCGGTAGCCCGCAACGCTACGGGATGCGAGCAACCCGCCCCCCCCCCCCCCAACCCTGCAACCGCCCAGCATCGTGCGGCGCCACAAAAGATACGGGGGACCAAAGAACCTGCCAGCTACAAACCCAAAAGCACAAGACCATGATAGGGTTTCCAAGTCAGGAGAAGTGACAGTGTGTCGAAACGGGGAATCAAACCGTCCAGAATCGAAACCAACTCCAAGCGGCTCAAGTCCGCGCGTTTGACCCGAACCGATCTGTTGAATATGAAGCCTTGTGCAGTGGCCAGCGCAAATGTTCTCTAGCATCCGGGCATCACAGGTCATCACCCTATCCGAGGCCTCTGGTCAAATGGTGGCAAACGGAGGCAAACACCGACCAAACTCCTTTGAGGCCGCGCGCAGCCAAAACGCTCGTGTGTGCTTGCCACTTGCGACGGCTGATCCAATGTTGAGTCACCCCACTCAACGACTGCCACAACAATACTGCGGCGTGTTTTATTCACCTTTGGTTGTGGAAGTCCGCGCGCGCGGGACAATAATGTTTTTCTCTACACGCATGTTCCCGTCAGCAGAGCCAGTCGCAACCATGGCTTTAAGAACAAGAGTTCGTTACTTCCACAGCAAGCGCCGGTTTTTGCGCTACAATACCTTCGCATTATGTTTCACGAAGTAGTAACAAGCCGCACGGAGTCCCGCGTGACGGTTTAGTCTTCTTTTTGGCTCAATGCCCATCGCAGCGCCGGGTTTCCTGCCTTCGCCCATGGCTTTGTTGCGGCTGACACAAATAACGCCCACAGCGACACGGCTCAAAGCCTGAGTAGCAAAGTTCTGGCTCTGGCCAGTGGAAATTGCGCGATTACTATACACTACGACCTTTCCATCTGTACATACCCGTCGAGGACCTTTAAGAGACGAGCAACCCCACAACTTTCTAAACAATTGATCAAGGTGGGGTCACGGGCCGAGGTTCCTGTAACAAGAACGCACATCGCTCTGATTAGCATGAACACTGCCAAGGACCCTAATGTCGGCGGCCTGAGCCGGAGGCTTCAAAGTTCAACGACGGAGTGAAATCAGTCCACCCAAAACTCCCGCGCACAACCGTACGCTCCACAGAGTGAATTCGACGAACACGGGCAACACAAAGCAGGCGTGGCAATGCAAACGCATAATGTATCAAAGGAAACTGCCACAGCAGCTGCGCGCTTCCCCAAGTTACGAGTGATGCAATGCTAGGTCTGCTGCCAATGGGTCCGAACTTGCGCCGCTCCAGGATAACGGCATGAAAAAATGCCAGACCAAACAGCAGCTTCTTGAACCTCGCCCAATGTTCATGCCAACCCGAGCAAAGCACAACAGCACGAAATCTCACACACTCTGTCAATTGGTGGCTGGCTCAAATGGCTTGGATGGGCATCCTTCAAAGACATCCTGGACAGTGTGTAAACGTGTATCTGTATGTGTGTGTGTGTGTTCAAAACAGTTCACATCTGTCATTGAGCAATGTCCTCCACTATATCTTGGTAGGTCCGGCCCAGATTTGCCCTGAGTCCTGCTCGAGTTGAAAGACTGGCAACACCAGCACAACTGTTTGCGTGAGCATCAACTTCTGATTCACACGCACACCACGAGCCTTTCGGAGGCTCATTGGTGATCTTGATGCCAGACTGAAGGACCGGTACCGGAAACTTGGGAGATGGCATGCTGGTCAGCCAAAGCCTGAGCCCAGCAAACCTGCCTTTCTTGCAACCGAAGCAAGGCTCTGAAAGTTGCTGGAGCTACTTCAGAGTATTCGCGCTTGCGTGCGCAGCCTGTAGTCTGGGTTGATTTTGTCCGCGTCTTGGGACTCTTGAATTGCCTCAAGCCTGACAAGCGATGAAAGCTTGTCTCGCAATTCGCAAGCATTCGCAAGAATTCGCAAGCATTGGCACGCATGCGCAAGGCCTTGGCATCCAGCTGTCTGCAAGGTGGCAATTCTGCAAGCACACCCAGTCGCCAGTGTCCCATCCTCGCAGTTCCAAAAGAAAGGACCCCAGCAACTTGTGACTTGGGGGCCGAGCCGAGTTTGATGAGAGCTTCAGCTTTGGGGCCCTGACAACACATCGCTTGCACTTCTGTGTATCCCTTTCCGCCTGCCTGACCCTGACCCAACGATATGAAGTGCAGCTTCTCTGTGTAGCCCTTCTCTGCAGCTAATGTCAGCAGGTACCTGACATGAGGAGGGCTGAACGAAAGCTAGCAGCTGCTGCATGGAAAAAGACTGCCCCAGGAGGGATTCGACCTCCTGGAGGGGGGGGTGGCCCAGCAAGGATTCGAGCCCTGGCGAGTGGTGGGGGGGCCTAAATAATTGATTCTTTTTGGACCAAACAATTGATAAAATCAATCTTTCGGCATTTCAGCGCTTACCTTGCCTACGCAAGGACAAATTTCAGCTAGCTTCGGCTAGCTTTCGTGAAAAGTGCATATAGGACATTGGTGGAAGATAGACCTTGTCGGCATCACGGCCCGGAGGTGTTGCATCGAACTTGCCTGCTTGGCGGTCGGTCTGACTGGCGGACTGGCGATACGACTGGCGGTCTGACTGCCTGGCAGTCAAACTGTCTGCAAACGTGGACGAAGGCGATGTTGCTCGGCGTATGGAGGCAAGGAGGGCGGGCGCTGCGAACTCGACACAGACATGATTGGAAGTACCAACTGCAACAGCTCTGAACTCTCGCTTAAAGTGTGAGCTATAGCATGTGTGGATTTCTATCAAGTTGCGCGGGACGCTCTGAACGACCGGGCCAATTGCACGGCAACATCAGTCACTAACAGGACAAGAGGCCAGCATGACCTGACAGCAAGAGCTCAAACAAATCCTAAGGATTGGGAAGGCGAAAGGCCTGTGCGACCCACATCCGTGGACAGCATGACAGCCACGACAAAGTAAAACCCTCAAGTAAAGTCTGGTACCACTTCATGCGGCCTTGAGTTCACACCAAACAACATTCAATCCATTCAGGATGTGTCTCAATCAGCCGCGTGCGTCCAATCATGGTTCAGGGCATAAGCAAAATAAGAGTTATTTTTAACATGGTCATGGTTCATGGCATGAGCAAAAACAATACATTATTGCTACTTCCATTTGCAAGAAAATGTATCAGGAAGGGGTGAACGTTCCAAGCGATGAAAGCGATGAGAATCAATAGAATGTGTTGGTTGCATGGAGCACTCAGTCGGATCAGCGCCGGCTGAAAGAACAAATATCAGCGGCATGGTGGCGACGGAGTCCTTCGCATCCAGATTGGCTTTGCCGCTTTGCCATTGAGATTGATAAATCATGGACTGTGTTGAGCGGACTGGCTAAGTACAAGGAACACATGCTGCCCGTCGCGCACACACACAAACAAACAAACACGCACACATGCCACTGGCGACCATGATGAACAAAATAAGGGCACGGCGGCATAGCAGCTGGCCAGGTTAAACGGAGGTGACCTGAAGAAAGTATAGCCACTGTTGTAACTTTCAATATGCAAACTATACACCTTGATCCTTGGTGCTTTGGCTAGGTCTGCTGCTCAATGAAAAGTTGCCCAAGCTCATGGAAGACCTCTGCAGAAACACAGCGTCTGAGTCATCTCACGTGCAAGCAGGCAAACCTGTCTGATTGAGTGCGAACGCATGTAGTGCGATGTGATGTGATGTGATGTCATGTCATGCCATGTCGTGTGAGGTAATGTAAGGTACGGTCATGTAATGTAATGCAACGCAACGCGATGCAATGCAATGTATGTATGTGTGGATGTACGGATGCAAGCGCGCGCTCTTGCGTTCTTGCATTTGGGTATATGCGCGCGCGCGTCAGGTTGCCGGGAGCGCGCGGGTTCCTGTGGCGCGCGCAGACTCGTGCTACGCGCACGAGCGCGCGCGTGCGTGACATTGCGTGGGATTCTGCGCGAGCCGTCTGATTGCAAAAGAGCATGCTCCACAAATTCCACGACCGTTGGCCGGCAGGTGGCAACCTGCCTATCAGACTGGTTTCCAACGAACCGGCACAGATGTGGCACCGGGAGACGTCTCGAGAACGCACCTGCTCAATTGTGATAAGCTGTTGCTGGCCCAAGTTTCGCTTAACACGAAGCCACAGCACCAAGGCCATTCGATGGACTGTACATGTGCGTGCTCGGCTGGTTTTCTGTCAAGGTGCGAGTGGTGAGGGTCAACACCTTTGGTCCCTGCCAGCATCTCCGTTTTTCTTAATGGTCCACCGACTGATCACACACCTTTTGAGATGTCATCGGCCTTTACTACAACCGCCTGCGACTCCTGCAACTTCGGCCCACGAAAACTTTGATTTCCACGAACCTTGATGTTTACTTCACTTGACTATCTCCTGCCTGCACCAAATTGAATGTCTCCTGCAAGTTGCCAGAGACCACGCTCGAGCATTTGTGTGATCAAGCAAACGCCAATCATCGTATGTGTTTCAACTTTTCATCGGCCACAATGCCAGCCCGCTTCTTGTGTTTCTTCTAAGGCCCGTTTTGTAAGTCGCCATGGGCGCTTACGCTGCAGCTTCGGGCTGGCGCGCCGAATGCTTGTTTTCAAGGAACCTGTTTCAGGTTTGCAAGAGCAGCGGGGCCGTGCATGCTGCAGCTTGGGACTGGCGCTCTTGTGACGTTTTGGTGGTTTCTGCGCTGGAAAGAGCCGCGAGGCCAGACGTTGGAGGTGGTACCAAGTTTTTGGGTCAAGCTTACCTGAGCCACTGGAGCGCAGATTTTTGACACGTCAGGTCACTTGCTGAACGGTTTTCGCGCCAACCTTTTTGAGCTTTGCTAAAAGATCCGCGAATTCCTGACAGGAAGGGAAGAAGAAGCTTCCATGGTGGAAGCGCCTGGGGCGCCCTCGAAGAAAGGACATGTTGCGCAACCTTCCCCTGCGTGGCTGACCGGGAAAAGAGGTCTCCTTGATGCCCAAATGGGGCAGTGTGTCTCTGGCAGGTGGCAACCTGCCTATCAGACTGGTTTCCAACGAACCGGCACAGATGTGGCACCGGGAGACGTCTCGAGAACGCACCTGCTCAATTGTGATAAGCTGTTGCTGGCCCAAGTTTCGCTTAACACGAAGCCGCAGCACCAAGGCCATTCGATGGACTGTACATGTGCGTGCTCGGCTGGCTTTCTGTCAAGGTGCCAGCGGTGAGGGTGAACACCTTTGACCCCTGCCAGCATCTCCGTTTTTCTTAATGGTCCACCGACTGATCACACACCTTTTGAGATGTCATCGGCCTTTACTACAACCGCCTGCGACTCCTGCAACTTCGGCCCACGAAAACTTTGATTTCCACGAACCTTGACGTTTACTTCACTTGACTATCTCCTGCCTGCACCAAATTGAATGTCTCCTGCAAGTTGCCAGAGACCACGCTCGAGCATTTGTGTGATCAAGCAAACGCCAATCATCGTATGTGTTTCAACTTTTCATCGGCCACAATGCCAGCCCGCTTCTTGTGTTTCTTCTAAGGTCCGTTTTGTAAGTCGCCATGGGCGCTTACGCTGCAGCTTCGGGCTGGCGCGCCGAATGTTTGTTTTCAAGGAACCTGTTTCAGGTTTGCAAGAGCAGCGGGGCCGTGCATGCTGCAGCTTGGGACTGGCGCGACGCTCTTGTGACGTTTTGGTGGTTTCTGCGCTGGAAAGAGCCGCGAGGCCACTGGAGCGCAGATTTTTGACACGTCAGGTCAATTGCTGAACGGTTTTCGCGCCAACAGCAGCGGGCACCCTTTTGAGCTTTGCTAACAGATCCGCGAATTCCTGACAGGAAGGGAAGAAGAAGCTTCCATGATGGAAGCGCCTGGGGAGCCCTCGGAGAAAGGACATGTTGCGTAACCTTCCCCTGCGTGGCTGACCGGGTAGAGAGGTCTCCTTGATGCCCAAATGGGGCAGTGTGCCTCTGTGTGTTTCAACCCTCTGATTGCAAAGAGTGTGCTCCACAAAGACCACGACTGTTGGCACGGCAAGGGGGCAACCTGCCTATCAGAGTTGTTGCCCAACGAAGCGGCTCTGCTTTGGCACGGATGTGATCAGAAGACTTCTCGGGCACCAATCTGCGCAAAGGTGATAAGCTGCTGCTGACCCAGGCTTCGTTTCACGCGAAGCCACAGTGCCAACTTGGAACTTGTTCATCCGTTCGATGGATCGTTCAACTGTGCGCCAGTAGCATGCATGCGCACGCACGTATGTGTGATGTGTGTGTGTGTGCGATGCGTGTGTGTGTGTGTGCGGGTGTGGGATGCGCGGCATGTGTGTGTGTGTCCTGTGTGTGTGTGTGTCATGTGTGTGTGTGTGTGTGTCATGTGAGTGTGTGTGTGTGAATGTCATGTGAGTGTGCGCCTGTCATGCGCCTGTGCCCTGTGTGTGTGTGTGTGTGCGTCACGTGTGTGTGTGTGTGTGTGCGTGATATGTGTGGCCAGTGTGATGTGTGTGTGTGTGACTCATGTGTGCGTGTGTGTGTGTCATGTGTGCGTGTGTGTGTGTCATATGTGTGTGTGTTGTGTGTTGTGGGATGTGTGGTGTGTTGGTGTGTTGGTGTGTTGCTGTGTTGGTGTGTGAAGTGTTGCTGTGTTGGTGTGTAAAGTGTTGCTGTGTTGGTGCGTTGGTGCGCTGGTGTGTTGGTGCGCTGGTGCGTTGGTGTGTTGGGGTGTTGGTGTGTTGGGGTGTTGGTGCGTTGGTGCGTTGGTGTGTTGGTGTGTTGGTGTGTTGGTGTGTTGGGGTGTTGGTGTGTTGGGGTGTTGGTGCGTTGGTGCGTTGGTGTGTTGGTGTGTTGGTGCGCTGGTGCGTTGGTGTGTTGGGGTGTTGGTGTGTTGGGGTGTTGGTGCTATAGATTCAAGGGTTACCGGTTTGGGGCCCAAAAGGAAACAACAAACCGTCCAAGTGCGCTGCTCGCACATTTTCACGCTTGAACAGCCACACTGCGGATGCAACGGATGTAAAACCCCATAATGACCGATCAAATTCTTCACCCCCCTCTGCGTGTTAAAGGGGCCTTTCACAAAGCAGCCAAACAGTAGCACAACAGAGGGAGAAGGTCAGGGGAACCATTGCTCACATGCAAACCATGACGGTCGCGCTTTTAGCGCCACCGCCAAGATGAATAGCTACCGCTACTGTCACCCCATCCGCTCCATTCGGACCAATTCTGCCAGCTGCCACGGCTCCAATGCTCACCCTCGCGGGCGGCGGGAGCACTCGTCTCAGCATAGCGGGCTGCATTGCGAGCAAGGTGCTTGCTGCTTTCGTTCCTCGAAAATTCAATCGAGTTACGCGCATACCGCTCATTTTGGCTGAAAATCCAGTCCATCTCGTTGCGGAGGTCGTCCAACGTGTTGCCTCGCAAATGAATGATCCCGTTCCAACAACCAATGCTGCGGGGCCTATTCTGCTCCATCACCACGTTGACGAAAGCTCTCGGGCTGTAAGGCATCCCTTGGAACATCACGATCCAGCGAGAGGACAACGCCTCTTGCAGCTCGTTGGGCAGGAACTCCAAATCTGTCTTGATATACGCGAGCCTTGCGATTCGCGACTCCGAAGTTGAACCAAGGCCAACTCCCAGAGCGCGCTGGGCCTGCGACTGCTTGGGAGCAGCCAAGACGAGATTTGCGCTCAGCTCCATGCGGAGCATGTCCGCCTCCCGACGGCCCACCTCAAGCATACGAACCCTGTATTGAAGATCGAGTTCGTAGCGGTCAAGCAGAGAGTGGTAGCCGTTCTTCAGGGCGGACTTGAGCTTCTTCCGGGCCTCCTGAATAACAGCACTGTCCGGGGAGTTCAAGCCACGAATGATGCTGTTACGATCCTCCTCGCGAAGGTCGAATGTTCTCACAGATGCAAGGACCTGAGATGTGACGTGGGTGCTGAGGCCCATCTTCTTCAACAGGTTGGAACGCTGCGTGATGTAATTTTTCTGTTGCTCTTTCAACCGGCGTGGATTGAGGGGAGACAACTGCCCACATGATGAGCAGTGCACCTGCCCCTCGAAGACACTGTTGTTGCAAACCGGGCACGTGGCGACATTCAACTCAACGTTCTCCATTGGATTGAAAGTCTTCTGCCTCTTCGCTTCCCCTTGCGGGGCGCGAGGAGAGGCCACATTTGCGCGCGTCGTAGCAATACGTTCCAGCGCCGTTGAGCGATCATCAACCACAGCTTGATCGCGCTTCATCCCCTGGGGTTCATCATCATTTGCCTCAGCTGGTGCACCTGCATCCGATTGCTCGGAGCGAGTGTACCAAACATCGCCATTTGTAGCGTCCAATACCGAAATAATCGTGTAATTGGGCACCTTGTCGCGCGTGAGGACGCCATCGCTCTCCGTCTTGAAAAAGCAAAGCCCTGCGCGAATGGCCATTCTGAGGTCGATTTGTATCTCCAGGGGTTTGTTTGCGCGTACGCCCGATACGTAGTGTTCGCTTGTGCTGGGGACGTCGGCGAAGAAGACGTGGGGCCGGCCTGTTTCATGCTGATCTCCGCCGCCTGGCAATAGTCCGTTCCGCATGATATTAGCGAAATTCCGCTTATCAGTGCGGTGATAAAGCACAGTTGGAGGATTGCT